AGCAGGGAAGCAGTTCTCAGGAAGCAAATAAATAGAAGCTTTCTAAATTTTTTCAAAACACAACTAGTCCTACACAGAAACTCATCAATTTTTCAATTCTTTAGTTTCGTAGTGATTGCTCATCTTAGCTTTCATGTTTCAGTTTTAACACAGATCCCAGTAGATTTAAGTTGTTTTCAACATTCAAGTACCCAAATTAGTTTGTGTAATTGCTTCTCTGATTTCCTTTCATGCAATAAACATTAAATTTATTTTAATTCACATCTCATTCAGTTCATTTTGGATCTATTAACTTAAATTCACGGTAGTGGTAAAGTCCTTAAGATTGTCCAAGGTAGATTAGCAACTCATTCCGCAAGAAGGCATCCCTCCCTCTTGCAAATTGTCTGAAAGGCGTAAAACTCAATTTTAAACCAACGTTCTTCCAGCTATCTTAACGAAGGTCGACCTCATGGAAGGAGAGGGTCGTTGGGAAAATCCCATTACTTTTCTCCCAGTGTCACCTCTGGCATAACGGTCCCATGGGAATCCAATATTCATGGAGAAAAAAGTAGATCGTGGGGTGACTTTGCTGAATCAAGTAATGTAATTAAAGGTATGACTAAACATCTAGAGTTAGCATGTAGAGAGCAGAACCAGGCTATACAGAAACTCCTCGAGAGTCAAGCAGAATCTTCCAGACGTTAGGAAAAAGCAATAAGACAATATATGGTTGAACTAAGACGAGTTTTTGAGAAAGGCACTAAAGCAAAGAAAGAAACTAAGGATGAAAGCTGTAGAACATTACAGACTATTTTAGATCAAGTGGTTGAACAAGTGCATCAGCCTATATAAAAAGTACCATTGCCAGCCCAGACAATGGATCCTCACAAGCAGATCCAGAATCCATCGACTCTAGTGCTTAGGGGGCAAGTCAATCAGCCACATCTGCCTCCATAAAACCAACCAACAGTTGGTGAGCCAGTGCAGCTAGAACCAGTAAAGGTTGCACCATGTGTGGCAGATTTGGGAAATCAACAACAACTGCAAGAAAAGATCGACAAAGGAATTCTATGATTTCCAAAATTGGCTAAGGAAATAATGGGAGTTGATGTAGACCCATTTCCTGACTTGTCTGTCAGAGTGAACGTGATAGATCTTCGAAGCCTTATCAAGGACAGAAATCGATCATACTATAGGCGCAAACTTGCAACTGATGACTTGAGATGGGTCATTAAGGAGGCCAAAACTCACAAAGATCAAGTCAAATTAAATCCTCCACAAGGAAGAAGGCACGAGGGGCATGATCCGAAGCAGCAAAAAACTGGTCCAAATCAGAGCGCTATGAAATCTGGCTATGAAGGACGATCCAAAATGGTGAAACCATCACTCAGATCTCCTAGCCAGAAATAGAAGTGAATGGTTCACCCAAAGTTTCCTAAGGCTCAGAATCCCAGAACTTTGAGGTGACATTTACAACATAAGAGAGCAAAAAAGAGGCGTCGGTAACAGATGGAGAACTCAAGGGGCATGGCGGATCTAGCTTAGTTGCTCCCTATGAGAATGAAATCTATCTAGGTCTCGAAAGACAAAATAAGGTATCAATTCAGGCATCTCTAGAAGATGAAAAGCAGCCCAAAAGTCTAACTTTTCCCCAAGTTTTGACTGTGGAGACAAGTGAAGAAACTAGCCTGAAAGCAGCGTTCAAGGTCAAATCAGATCCTCACTGAGGAAAAAGGCACGGAGGGCATGATCCGAAGTAGTAGAAAACTGGTCCAAATCAGAGCGCTATGAAATCTAACTATGAAGGACGATTCAGAATGGTGAAACCATCACTTAAATCTCCTAGCCAGAAATGGGAGTGAGTGGTTCACCCAAAGTTTCCTAAGGCTCAGAATCCTAGAACTTTGAGGCAATGTTTACACCATGAAAGCAAAAAACAAGCGTCAATAGTAGATGGAGAACTCAAAGGGCATAGTGGATCTGGCTCAGTAGCTCCCTGTGAGAATGAAATCTGTCTGGGTCTCGAAAGACAAAAATAGGGTATCAATTCAAACATCACTAGAAGATGAAAAGCAACCCAAAAGTCGAACTTCTCCCCAAGTTCTGACCATGGAAACAAATGAAGAAACTGGCCTGAAAGCAACATTCAAGGTGGTTGAAGAAATGGAGAATTAAACAAAATAGGAAACCATCCAATTTGGTGAGTTTTTTGTGAATTTGTCTTGTTTGGTGCTTACCCTTCCTTTGGTCTTCCAAGCCAAAGAAGAACTAGAATCTGCAGATTATCAACAGGCAAATCAAACTGAGGAAGGAATTATTGAGATCCTTGCAAAGGAGGATGAAAATGAAATTTTAGCAAACAAAATTATTTTTGAGAAGCCAGAAGAGAGGATGGCCAGACATATAAGGCCATTATACATTCATGCTCACATGGATGGGATGTCAGTTAATCGAGTTCTGGTGGACAATGGTGTTGTTGTCAACGTGTTGCCAACTTGTATGTTACACAAAATTGGAAAATCTTTGAAAGGTCTGATGGAGACAGAAGTGACAATCAGTGACTTCATAGGTGGAGTAAATCGTGCAAGGGGAATTTTGCCAATAGAGCTCACTGTGGGAAACAAAACTCTCATGTGTGCATTCTTTGTGATTGACACTATAATCACTTATAATGCATTACTTGGGAGAGATTGGATCCATTCTAGTTAGTGTGTTCCTTCAACTTTGCACCAGAAATTAATGTTTTGGAATGGTGGCAAAACTGAGGTCGTGAATGCTGATGATAAACCTTTTGTAACTAACACCAATTCGATGGAAACTCGTTACTATGATGAAGAAATTGGGACCATTCACTTCTTTGGGATGGACGTTAATGGTAAACCAGCTAGAATTACTACCAGTACCACATCAACACTTACTAGACACACAGTGAAAAAGGTTTGCAATGAACTCCTTTGGCCTACAGCAATCGTTCCTTTTAGGCCAAGGGAAGAGCTAGAAATTGAAGAAGTTCCATGAAGAGATAGCAAATCAATCACCAAAAAAAGAAGGCTGTGAAAGAAATCAAAAGAAAATTAGTGGCTTATCTTGTAGAAAAGCAAATCAATGTAGACAGATCTGAGGTGGTCCATGAAGCTGAAGAGGAAAAGTTGATAGAGGAGGTTGCTTTAGAGGAGTTAGATCTGGCTCCAACCAAACTTGACAATCTGAAAGCAAAAGTACAAGATCTATTGAAGGAGGTAAATTTGGATATTTCGAATTCTGGTTGAGTCAGATTTGGGTGAAATTGCATAGTATTTTCTTTTTCCAATTTATCATTTTTTGAGTTTCAATAATAGCACTGATTTGAATTTGTAAGCTGGCCAGATTTGATCGTGAGCAATCATAGCAGCTAAATTATGGTTGTGTTAGATTTCAATTTGCTCTAGATCAAGTATGCAACAATGGCTATGAAAGAGGAAAGCTAATCTTTGATTTTGGAAACTGTGTTCAAGTCTGGCTGTATATCTGCAAGAAATTTACTACGCCATTCTGCCAAGCTCTTTTCTGTTTGTTCCGTAAGGAGAATATAATCATTTAGTTCTACAAGCTTGGCTTCAAGGTTTGAGATCTCTTCTTTCAGACCTTAGAGTTGTTTAACATGTGACATTGGTGGTTGGAGTTTACACGCAATTTATTTAATTATAAATACTTGAATTTATTTTCATAAAATCAAGTGTTGGGGGGCATTGTTTACACCATAAATTGCATTTTTTAAGTGATGCCACGTGTCAATGGATAAAATGAGATCAAATCTACTAAAGTTATGCATATTTATAAAGTTGGTTGGGAGGATAAAAATTATCCAGTTTGTTGCATCTTGACTTTAAAAGAAACAGCAATCTCTAGATTTTAGGAGGAAGTTATCATCCATGATTTGACCAACCAGCAAAAGAAACGAGGAAGCAATTCTCAAGAAGCAAATAAATAGAAGCTTTCTAAATTTTTTCAAGACATGGCCAGGCCTACACAGAAACTCATCAATTTTTCAATTCTTTAGTGTCATAGTGATTGCTCATCTTACCTTTCATATTTCAATTTTAGCACAGATCCTAGTAGATTTAAGTTGTTTTCAACATTCAAATACCCAAATTAATTTGTGTAATTGCTTCTCTGATTTCCTTTCATGCAATAAACATCAAGTTTATTTTAATTCGCATTTCATTCTGTTCATTTTGGATCTATTAACTTAAATTCACGATAGTGATAAAGTTCTTGAGATTGCCCAAGGCAGATTAGCAACCCATTATGCAAGAAGGCATCCCTCCCTCTTGCAAATCGTTTGAAGGGCACAAAACTCAGCTTAAACCAACATTCCTCCAGCCATGCTAATAGATTTCGCCACGTAAAAGGAGAAAGTCATTGGCAAAATCCTTTTTTCTTGCTTTTTAGAAAAATAAGTGGCACACTTGCATCCAAATTCTACACGTGCAAAGCCACTTGAAGATTTTTTAGGAAAAAAAGTTTTCCCCCTAATGGAGTTTGATGCGACTCGATTCCGGACTAATTGAAATCCAATGTGATTACCGAATATCAGAAAGTTAATAAAAAAAATTCCAACTTGATAATTTTGAAAAAAAATTCTATACCTTTTTTACTACGATTGATCATAATTTTAAGTTTATTTATTTATTTATTATCTCAAAATATATAAAACATTAATTAAAGTTAATTAATAATAATTTACAATTTTAAATAATATGTTATATGAAAAAGACCTATAAAAGGATTGCGAATAGAGACCCAATTGTGTTGCCTTTCAAGTTCATTTGCACATTTAATTTTGTAACCATGTGTATTTTTGAGAGTTCAATAATTTGTTTAGTTTGAGAAAGAGGAGGGAGGTAAAGGATCATTAAGAATGGCCAAGTTACTATCCATTTGGTCAAAAAGTCATTTCCTCTTCTAACCCTTTATTCCCCTTTCTAACCCTTTCTTCCTCTTCTCTCAAACAATATCTCTGACAAGATGATATGAATACTTAGATTGTAACTTTATGCTATGGCACCATGTCAACGGAATGTATAAAAGAAAGATCATGAAAATAAAAGACATTACCATCACTTAAAGATCATACCAAAAAAATATGTGAAGTTCAATCCATACCGTGCTTAATATACTATTGTAAGCATATTTCATGCAAAGGGACATATGAACTCGGCAAAAACCACAAGGAAAATGGTGTTAAGGACCTCTACTGTCTCTCATTACCCTCTCTTAAATCAACAACAATGACTGTTATATCATCTGAGCTTCCCCGTCCTAGAGCAAGCCTACAAAGTATGGATGACGCCAAGGCACTTTTTGTTGGAAACAGTTCCTCCGCTTCATCCATGATGGGAGATTCTTGACTAGGGCATTCCGTAGCAGTAGGTGGACTTCCATCCCTAAGGCATTCGCTAGCTATCTTACAAGCCAGACCACTTGAAATTACATCCCACATACCATCTGAAGCTAGAATCAAGCAGACATCACCGGTATCTCTTTCTATTAATGAAACCTCGGGTTCTGATATTATGACTTCCTTCAAAGAGTAATCACCTGCAAATCAGGATAGGAGAATTAGAAGCAATCAGATTCTTCGTCTAATACATCAAGGTAATAAAATTAATGATGGAAATTGCTCAACCAAGGAATTTATATGATTAGTTCAGTATGCCAAGAAGAAAAACATTTTTCACAGAAAGTGCCTTTGCAATATTTGTAAAGTCATCTTGCTCTAGTATTGGAACTAGTTGGAAGTCATGATGGTATCAATGTTATCAGGAGACAGTAAGTAATGAAACCAACCTGTTTGCTTATATGCAAATGGAAGTAAAAGTACAATAAAATTTTCATAATCAAAGAAGCTTGCATACAAATACTAGATAGAACAAGAAAATTTTGCACAGCTAGAGGAAGTGAGATATAAAGAGCTCAATAGAACAACACGAAGTTTGCAGTAAAATTCTGAATACAACTCAAATAATATATGGTGATGCGTGCCTGAATATAAAATTTACAGTGTAACAAACTCTGGGTCAAAGGAAAAAATAAAAAATAAAAAACCAGGCAAGCATAACTCTTTACCCACATCATCCTATACAAATACAAAAAACTTCTACTTCTTAGCAATAAACATGATGATCAAATCCATATGATGAACAAATCTACGACAATAATTAAACATAGAATAATTCAATAAGATTACCTATAGCACGTGACATCTTAAGTATGCCATTAACAAAAGGAAGACCATTCCTATATTTGAGCTTCCCACCAGCATTATAGATCCTCTCTAGCTCATCTTGCCTATTTGGCTACAAGCAACAAAATAAAAGAAAATTAGGAATACAATTGGAAATTAATTTTAAAAAGAAAATTAAATAAAAGGGGCATGAAATTAATTAAAAATTCAATTTTATTAAAGGAAAAACAAAAACAATTGTGTATTTTCTATTAAAGGACCATTAGTGATATTGAATTTTTTTTTTTTTATTTTAGTGGAACATAATGATTTTGCTAATCAAACAATCAACAGCAAGAATTGAAATATCAAAAATGACTTTCACAGCCACAAAAAGGAGACAAAGTAAAATACCTTGTGATCATGGGATAGAGGAATGGCACTCCCAGCCCAAGACAAGACAGCGCGCGAGTTACCACAGTTAGCAACAATAATGTGAGAAGGTGTTAGGATTGCCACATTAGCAGTGGACCCTGTAGTATTGAGTGCTTTAGGCCAAGACTTACATATATTCAACACCCCATCAGACATGCAACTATATAATGCTGCTTGATCAACTCTTTTGAAGCTATTCTCCATGACTCGTTTTATATGATCCTCCCATACATTTTCATGGGAGCCACGCTGATGAGTCCCCTGTGATAATCTTGAACTACTACCATCCACAGCATTACTTCCATCCTCAGTTGTGCCTCTTCCTATTGATCCCATGCACGGGACACTCATAAATTCCTCTGCTACAATAATGTGCAGTAAATCCCTGCACAGCGAGGACACCTGCATATAGTTTGTGTTAGAAATAAAAAGAGATAAGATAAAAATCTAATAGATATTAAAGGAAGAGAGGATTACAAGAGCGCTTCCATGCCCATCATATACAGCAAAGAAATGTAGAGGCTGGCCACAGAAAATATCTGACCGGCAAAAGTCTTCCTTAACAAACCACCGATCATTCATAGCTAGCGAATGTCCTTTGATCAATATCGACCCATAAACAGGCATTGGGTTCCCTATTTGGACCCTCCTTGAGGACAAAACTGGCTGGACTATGGTGGTCAATGATTCTTTTCCTTTCTCAATACCCCACTCCCTGCTAGAGAAATTATCTGCGATTTCCTCCTGTGTGGGATTATCAATAGGTGCATGAGGTTGGGTTGGTGGTAAAGAACTTATTGCTTGCCTCATCTCAATCGTCTGATGATGGTGTTCACTGCAATTTTCTTGGGGCTCACCCTCAAAATCGGAAGTTTTGGGAATTCTTTGATGATTGAGCCATTAGAAAAGCAATAGCAAGAGAAAAATGAATGGGATTTAGAAGAAACTCAGAGAATAAAAGGAATTAGGTTGTGAGGAAGATCAAGATAGGTGTAAGAAATGGGTTTATTTGGAGGGATATATATATATATATATATGAGAAGGAAGCAAAAATGCAAAGAGAAAATTAAGGGTGGGGTTCGGTTTGCTAGAATGTAGATTGTCTTTCCATAAAAGAGTAGATTGACCTTCCATAATAGCTAACAAAATATCATTATTAGGTGTGCAAATGAGCCGAGCTGAGTCAAGTAGTTAGGTACTTGATCTTGAGCAAGAACTCTGGGTCAAATTTGATTTGAGTTTGAATAGCTCACAAGTCATTGATGAGCTTTGAGAAAAAAATAATTAATATATAATTAATTTGTTTATTAAATTTGAGTTCAAGCTCAGGTAGCTTGCCAGCTCTCAGCCTACCTCCAGCTCCAAAATTTTTTTGAGCATGAGGTTGAGCTTAAGTCACATAGCTCATGTAGCTATTCAACTCATTTACAGCCGTTTAAACTAAGAGTAGATAAACTTTCCATAAAAGAATGAAAAAGATCTATCTATCAGTTTTCTAAAGTTTGGAATATTCAATACATAAAATCATATAACAAAGAATAAATGACCCCAATGCACTTTCCTCTATTTTCATCCATGAAGGGACATTATTGACTAGTGAATTGGATAGCAGTAGCTGGACTTCCATCCCTAACTCTAAGACAAGTGATAGCTATCTGACAAGCCAAAGCATTTGAAATTACATATCCCATAGACCATCTGAATCAAGAATTCCAAAATTTTTAACTCTCTACTTGTCATTTTGTAGATCCTGACCATCTAAGCATTTTCTAGCCAAGTCATAAATACATAATATCTAATTCAAGGGGGCATCATCAGGTATCATGTCAAGCCCACTAAATTTTAAAGTTTAAATAATTATATATGAAGGCTGAGAAAGAAATTAATTGCTAATTCTTTACAGGTTAGAACTAATCAAATATCTCTATTGATATATGTTGTGATGTTATTATGGTACCATGAAACAAAAACCTCTTTTATTTCTCTAGGACTTTTTATTTGCAAAAACAAACTAACACAACCTACTGCCCTTTTAACAATAATCAAAACCTCATTTGGTGAATGAAAATCTCCTGAAGTTTTAGCCCTTTTAATTTACATCATCCTTCCATCCATATTCCCATTTCCTAACATTTCCCACTTTTAGGTTTAAATTTATACTTACTGCTTTGCTTCCCTAATAGTCTTCTGTTTTGTTACAATGAATAACTTAAGGGTAATTTTCTAAATTTAAGAACAAAATTTACTATAGCTATGCAGGCACCGCATTACCTATATGCTTTTATAAATAAATAAACATTGCATTACCTTCATTCCAATTGTAAGCCCCAGTGTCATCAAAATTTATCCATCTCAAAGCAAGGGAAGTAACCAGTGAAGCATACATAAACTTCAAGATGGATAGAATGCATTAGCCCTGTTTATCTGAGGCCCAGAATAGTGTTCTAATGCAGCTGCATTGTACCACCATACAAGCCAAGTCATTTGACAGAATATCCCACAACCACAAGCCATCACAACTTAAGCTCTCATCAATCTACCGAAATAAAAGGAAAGAAATAAAGTGAATATAAGGTGCATGATTTCAAACTACAAGTTCAATATCTAAGCATCTACGTAGAACAAGGGATCTGGATATCAATGATGCAACCTGTTAAGGAATATATACTCCTATTTATGTTAAACCCATCCAAATTAGTCATGAATATTTCCAGACAGAACTAATTATTCTGCTTCTTGAAGTTATTTTGGAATTTTGGGACTGATGTTACATCTTTATGGTTGTTTCAAGCACAGTTTGGTGTTTTGCATCTGTTTCCTAGGTAAAAGCCAAACCAGGATTGAAATCAAAACAAAATTCAATCAATTTGATGAGAATGAGAGTTTGATTTTTCCAGTCTACAACTTGCTAGCATTCCTTTATGACAAGACCACATTGACTACTTAAGCAGGTGAGGTCAGTTCTAAAAATAACCGGTCATGGGAAATCTAATAATGGTATAGAGACCATAGCTATTCCAATTAAACTATTAAAGCATCTGCAACAAATATTCCGATTTTACTATGTTTTCCAGGTTCCAGAATACTAATAACCTCAGCTTCTAATAAAACATAATCTGAAGGGATTAGAAGATATTAAAATCAACCTCTGTTTTCCAATTTTACTATGTTTCCCATTTTCCGCTTTTACTACTATGTTTTATTAGGGCATTCTCAAAAAGCCTCATTATCCATCCAGCTTATAGAAGCTACTACAAATTGTTAAATATAAATATTTCCAATTCAAACAATTTTAATGGTCACACCAGCACCTTTGAAGATGGAGCCTTATCCAGTACTTGCAGACCGACGGTTTGCAAGTACCGTGACATTAGTCGTGTCAATTGCATGGATACCCATGTTATTAAAAATAAATAAATAGAGATTCCCAATTCGCTTGAATTCCAAAAGGATTACTACCTGTTGCCCTGAAATCGTGCGTCTTTTGAGAAATGACTCGGCCTCCGGCAACTTCAGTCCTTACAAGTTCATCTGATTCATCTGGCTGAAAGTGGCAAAATTTGCAAAGTTAACGGTATACCCTATAAATTATGAAGTTGAATTGAAATTTTTTCTAATTTTCTTCTCAGCATACCGGGAAAGAGATGACCAAGGGAGGGAGGTGAAGATTCCAGCCCATGAAAGAGGCTGAGATTTGAGTAGAACGAAATGACGATGCATAGAGTACTGAGAAAGAGAAAAATGCTCTGGCTTTGCTGTGTCAAGAATTTGGAAAACTCGACGAGGAGAGTGAGCGAAATGGCAGATGTAGGCGTCTCTACTGGAAGCTTCTTCCGTAGCCGAAGAATAGAGTCCGTCTGACGCAGCCGCGGTCAAGCTAGTGAAACTGGCGTTGAAAACCCCGACCATGGTTAACTGCCGGACAAATCCGATCCGGAGACCAGAGTTGGACAAAATTATATTTCGACTCATTAACTTCTAGCATTTATCAACCAAGTCCTAAAATTTCCCTTATAAGATTCAATTTACTAAAACTCAAATGGTTTTTAAATACGTTAAAACACAGAAAATCAGAATGGTATTTGAGAAGTGCTAGGTGCGATGGTATTCTGAGGTCACCTACCTTGGACGAGCTAAGTTATTACAGACGTACGACCTCGAGAAGCTCTTGAAACTAAGCATGATGCGCTTAGTTGAGGTTGAGCTCGTCCCCTTAGAACGAGTTCGTCCCCTTAGAACTTGCTCTACAGTAACTCCATACATACTTGTAATTGCACCAAACCAGATGTCCTTCTTCAATCTGTATCTGCACTCTGGATTGACCTACAAAGCCCCGAGGTGGATCCTCGAGGGTAAACACTCCGATGCTTAAGTTAGCAATAATCGAGGCTACCTTTAGAGTGGAGAAACAAGGAGCTTAGGATTGGTTTCAATTATCTTTTTGACGTGACCCTTGGGGGTATTTATAGGTTTCAATGAGGAACCTACGTGGCATGCCAAGCAAGATATTCGAGATCTTATGTGTATCTCCAAACGGTTATTTCGGGACCAAGAATTTGAGAGATACTCAGATACAAGGATGTCCATCGTAACTGCTGTGCGACGCATCATAAAGGATCAAGTGCGGGCATGCTTACTGTTGCAACCATGCAGCTACTTGAGCAGAAATCTTTGGATTTATCCTTCACTTCGGTCATAAAGGAATTACTGTCGTTCGTCTGAGGTTGGGCACCTCGAGCCTGTCCTTACACTATTCCCCCCCGAAGTCATTCACTCGTGAATGATGGTGTTAGAGATAATGGGGGAAGTGCATAAATAGAAATGAAAGAAGATACAAGTATGGAAGATGAGTTACAGAAGTAAAAAGGGAAATGAAAATCTGTATCCCAAACGTATGTATAGCTGTAGCTAATAGTGAAATACGTGATAGGGGGTCATGTTGGCCATGTCCAAAAATAATATAAAATGTAATCGGATTGATCATGGCCGTGGCCGTGGTAAAAGAATGACCAGAGTCAATGTAAGAAAGTAATAACAAGTAGTAAAAATTAATGATCGGAGTCATAGTGGCTGGATCCATAGTAAGGAATAGTGGCCAGAGCCGTAATAAAAATAATGACCAGAGTCATAATGGCTGGAGCCGAAGTAAAATATGGGAGACGGGGCACTAGGGCGGTAGCCGTAGTGAAACGTGTGACACTAGGTCACTGTGGCCATTGCCGAAGTAAAACGTGTGACACTTGGTTACTGTGGCCGTAGCCAAAGTAAAACGTGTGACACTTGGTTACTGTGGCCGGAGCCAAAGTAAAACGTGTGACACTGGGTCACTGTGGCCGGAGCCGAAGTAAAACGTGTGACACTGGGTCACTGTGGCCGGAGCCGAAGTAAAACGTGTGACACTGGGTCACTGTAGCCGGAGCCGAAGTATAACGTGTGACACTTGGTCATTGTGGCCGGAGCTGAAGTAAAACGTGTGACTGAAGACATCAAGTCGGTTGCCGAAGTAAAACACTTGTGCAAAATTTAAAATGAATAAAAGTGAGCAAGAGTGTTGAAATGGGCTTAAGTGGGCCCGTCTGAGAAGTTTGACAAAGAGGCGGTATGCGACGCGACAACTGTCCTCTGAATGATGTGTGTAATAAATGCCGCTGTAAAAAGATAATTGTAACAGCCCAACGGGCAAATGTGAAAAACGAATCGTCAAGTTCAAAACGGTACCATTTGGGGTTAACCGTCGAATTCAAAACGGTATCTCCGCAGCCGTTAGATGGGGTTAATCACAGCCGTTGAGGCGTATTTTGCCTTTGGTATAAAAGGCTAGACTTCTGTAAAGAGGGGTTTTTACTTTTGCGATTTTGCTTCCAAATTCTTGCTAAATCTCTGCGGTTTCGTGCGGTTTCATGCGGTTTGCGCTCTCTTTGAGGCTTCAACAACAGTTTGCCAAGACCAAAATCAGGTAATGGTTATGAATTTTGGATTTTGATTATGTCGAAGTGCTATTCTCCTTTCTCCCTTTCTGTGATTGATTTTGGGTTTTTTGAAGGAAATTAGGGTTGGGAGTGAGAATGTATTGAGTGTGTGAGAATTTTTAAGGGTCCTGACTCTGTTCCTCCTCCTACTTTATGCAGAAATTGAGGAAATGTCTTCAGAAGGGACCATGAGTGTAGTGGGGAGTGAAGTGATGCCCCTGGATTACGGGAGCATGGATTCGGAGAGCAGTCCATCTCTAACTAGTTCGGAGAGGACAGTGGAGGAGAGGAGGGAGCAAAGGGTGGTAGAGGAGGAGGAAGATGAGATCCCCTCAAACATTTTGGAGGCTAGGAGTGGTGTAGATGGGTGTTATGACCCAGATTTAGAGATAGTATCTGAGGTGAGGGGGTATGTGAGCGAGTTAGGTAGCAGGGATAGTCTTAGGGGTCTCATGGGTAACTGCAACCTCCCTCACCATGTCTTAATTAGGCCTGCAGGGGTGAATGAGAGGGCATGCTCAGCACCCCGAGACCATTGGATGCCCTTATACGTCCACTATTTGATTGCAGGGCTTAGGTTTCCCATTCCAGAATTACTGGTTGGGTTATTATTAGATTAAAGTACAGGAATAATCCAACTAACCCTAAATGCCAAAAGGGTAATAATAGGTTTTCTTGTATACTGCCGAGTTCGGGGGTTTGGGGTCCCTACAGTAAACATGTTCAAACATTTTTTCATAATAAAGGCTGGGGGTAAGGGAGAGAAGGGGTGGTATTACTTCGGTTCTCGGTCATCCAGCAAAGAGAATAGGAGTTTATTCTCTATTGGACCGTCATCCATCAAAGGATGGAAAGAAAAATTCTTCTTTGTGGATGACACCGAGTGGAGTATTAAGGATGCCGAAGTGGAACAGTTGTCTGCTTGGAAAGCTAAGAAAATCAAGCAGAACAACTATAAGTTAAATGAGGATAAGGTGGAGGAGGTAGAAAAGCTGGTGAGGGAGGAAGGAGACGTAGTGGATATCCTATACCTCACCAGTCCGAAGGCAATAGAGGCTGCTGAGCTCTATGGGCCGAGCTCATTGAGCGAAGGTTTGTGTATGTTTATATTGTGCCATTTTGGTTAGAGTTTAGTTGGTGTGTTTTGACATGTATGTTTGTTTTGCAGTTGAGATGGACGAGTTTATAAATGCTGCTGGGGGGCTGCGTATCCCAAAGAAGCCAAGGAAGAAGTCAAAGACTTCAACTACGACGGAGAAGGGGGTGGCAGAAAAGGAGCGG